CCACAGAAACAACTGACCTGAACAAGGTGGAGCTCATGGACACCAGACTGATAGCTGAGAGGCCAGCATGGGACTGATCCAGACCTCCTGAACGTGGGTGTCAGTGAGGAGGCCTCAGCATTCTTTGGGGTCTCGGGCAATAGATCAGTATTTATCCCTGGCATCCAAAATGACTTTGGGAGCCCAAACCACGTGGAGGGATGCTGTCTCAGCCTAGTCACATGGGACAATATGACAGACTTTGGAGAACCCCCATGAAACGCCTCACCCTTCCTGGAGTGTGGAGTTGGGATTGGGTGTGGGGTTAGGGGGGGTTGGTGGGGGATGGGGGAGGAGGGGGAGGGTGAGGGAGCTGGGATTGACATGTGAAGGAAGCTGGTTTTGCATTTTACAAAAGAATCCCAAGACAATGTTCTTTGGGAAACATATTTTGCCACATGTTTAATGGTTTTGAATTAAATGTACTTGCTTATTTGTGTGGAAGACCATATGGTAGGAGTGTGTGGAAGTCAGAGTCCAACTTGTTAGAGGTTGGTCCTCTCATTTCACAGTCAGATCCTGTGAGTGCCTTTAACCACCTTACCTGCTGAGTTCCTGAACTGTTGATTTTATGGTGAAATCCTTGATTTTTTTTCAAGGCACAAAGCACAGCTTTGTAAAACACAGAGTTTTAAATAAAAATGGAAATAAAAATAATATTCACTTTGGCTAATTGCTGTTTTCTGCCATGAATATAAGTTCAAGACTGCTAAACAGTTTGCTTTTCATCAGAGCACAAGTTTGGTTTTGAAGCTTTAAACAATTTCACTCGTATTTTTCCAGTTTCCCTATTGACTTAAGGGGGGAAGATGTGAAGAATAATATTCTCTTTTCAATTAATGTTATTCTTCAATGTTTCTAGAGTACTTTTTATAGTAAAATATTGAATCACTGCCTATTATCACAACAATTTGGGAGGCAGAGGCAGAAGGATTGCAATAAACTTGAGGTCAATCAAGACTACACAGTGAGACCCTGTCTCAAGAAAGGGAGGAAGACTAAGATGTTATCATGACAAAGGGACCATTTTGCCTTGCTAATTTACATAACAGATTTTCTTTAGAAATTATCGAATTAGGTAAATGACACAATATAAAGTTTTAGTTGTGTATAGATCAATAAAATGATAATAACCTACTTGATTACAAATATTTGCAGAGATGTTGCACATTATAAATGTAGTAGTGATGCTGAGTTCATCAAACTTTTCATAGAACTATTTATAATGGAAGAAGGTTACTTACTGAAAAATGATATTAACTTCCAAGGATGAAATAAGACAAAATAATAGTGTGTCATATATATGAAGTATCTTAATAATTAGATATTTTCATATATTATCTAGGATTTACTGGACTTATTATCTTTTATTTTGAATTCTTTCAATTTGTAAACATAATAAAATTGGCAACTGAGTATTTTTTGTGAGTAATGCTACCAAATTTGGAAAATTTAATTGTTAAAGTAGTCTCTTTTGGGGAGGATATTTCTCCTAAAGTATTGCTGCTATTTTTTTTAATTTGTAAGGTTTTTAATTTAGCAGAAATTACCCTGTTTCCTTCTAAATTTAACTGTTTCAAATTACATTATATGTGTTTAGAGACAAATCTCTCCTTTAACTGCACATGAAAGCATCCTGGCAGTGGTACAAGTGGTCTTTTCACTTCTGTTACCTTTCAGAATACACAAGTACACAATTTAAACATTAGCAGGTTAGAAATCATGTTACACATTTATGTCATTAAAGTCTAAATGACAGATTATCTATTTCACTATAAATCACAATCTGCATGATTATTTTAATGATTAGGAGATATACAATTATAATTAGCACCAAACAAAAGATGTTACAAAAAATGTCAAACCATATGAAACATAAAACATAATGTCATGTTACAATAACACCTGTAACCCAATTTTTATGTGTACTCTTTGATATTCAACGTCTGAGAGCTGCTTCTAACTCTCATTTGGGAGGTACAAGGGTAAAGCAGTTGTTTACATAAACAAGCTAATTGTATTGCTGCTATTTTATGGTTTAACTTTCCAGTTATATCATTATTTGTTCTGCAATCATCAAGACATATTCATTCTTGAAACTTTAATAAATTGAAAATGTCCCAATATAGTTACCATGCACTTTCATATCTGAAAATGATTCAAGTATGTTTATTCTGTGGCAAAGACTCCAGGAAGTAAGCTTATTAGGCCAACTAATTTTTTAAAAATTATTTATGATCAGAAGAAAAACTGAAAATAGCCAACAAACTCAGTAGTGAATTCCCGTAGGACTAAATTATACAACATACATACTTTTGCTGTCAAAGTTTCAGAATATGTTGCTCGTTCTAATTATATGCTCATGCTGTGATTACAACAACTTTGAAAGCTACTTGTGCTAAATGTAAAGGTATGGGTGGGGGTTAGATGAAGAAGAGCTAGCAAATACAATATTTTACCATCACTGTCTTAAATCTAATTGTTAAGTCAATTAGAAAGATAACATGGACAATTCAAGGATTAACTCAAACTCTTCTGTTTGTATATGTGTTCTCTAGCTGAGTAAAGAAATTAGCAATGGAAAATGGATTTAATTCAGTGGAAACAATTTGAGATTTAGCATCTGAAAAGTCAGCATTTATCAAAAACAGTATTTGAAATGTACATTTAGAGTATAGTGCATCTAGACATCTTCCTAAGCAGCATAAGTCTGTGAAAGTCTCCTAGTTCTTTACTAGTTAATTGATGTAGTCAATTTCTATTTTGTAAAGCCTCCAGACTGGAAAACAATTTCAAAAAGAAGAATGTACTAGACTGGGACAGACATGTTGGATCATTTGAGCCTTCCCCAGTCAAGGAAATATTTCCAGCACTTAAGAATATAAATATTTTTTAAATAAAATAAATTTAAAATTCAAAAAAGAATATAAATATTTAAGCTGTGCGTTGGTGGCACACGCCTTTAATCCCAGCACTCGGGAGGCAGAGGCAGGTGGATCTCTGTGATTTCGAGGCCAGCCTAGTCTACAGAGAGAGTTCCAGGACAGCCTTCAAAACAATACAGAGAAACCCTGTCTTGAAAAAACAAAAACAAACAAACAAACAAACAAAAACAATATAAATATTTAGATAGACATAATAATAGCAATAGTAAGCATTTATCCACAGAAAGATTGAGAGGAGGAAAGGAAAAATAGCATATATATATAAATATGTATATATATGTATATATATAATGAATATAGACTAGCTGATAAGCATTTCATATGCCCTTCCTCACGTCCCCTTACCCACACTGAGAATATACATAGCACTTTCTAAAAGCTGAGAGGAGAAGAAAGAAAATAAAGTCAACTTGAAGATTTGGAAACCATATAGGTGACAGACATAACTATGGGGCTAAGAAGAAGTGAACTGTTGGAAATAAGTTAGAAATGGAAAAGTGCATTCTATATGTGAGATTTTCTAATTCATAGTTTCTTCCTACAAAACAAGTGCTTAAAGAGAAAAACAGCCAGCCAAAAACCATTTGATTGTTTTAGAGAATACCATTTTGCAGATATGAACATTTACATTAGTATATTCACCCAGAATATTTAATATTTTTGAAAGATGCTTTGGAAAAGATCTTTAATGCTGTTATTTTAAAGTTCAAATATTTAATTTATTTGGTTTTAGGTAGAAAACACTTGCCACAAATCTTTTATTCAATAAACATTGATGTTAACCTTTTAGTGTCCCAGTGTTTAACTGGCCCTGAGATTAAGATGTTACCAGTTTAGACACATACATAGAAGTATACTGAGTTTGATGTTATTTAATTTCATTACAGTTCTCACATCTATAGAATACAGAGATCGCTATTGGTATATTTAAAGACAAATAAAAGACACCAAAAAGGCTGGGCGTTGGTGGCCCACGCCTTTAATCCCAGCACTCGGGAGGCAGAGGCAGGCGGATCTCTGTGAGTTCGAGGCCAGCCTAGTCTACCAAGCGAGTTCCAGGACAGCCTCCAAAAAAATACAGAGAAACTCTGTCTCGGAAAAAAAGACACCAAAAAGAATTTGTGACTCTCTTAGTTAGGGCTTCTTACTGCTGTGAAGGCACACTATGACCACAGCAACTCTTACAAAGAAAATATTTAATTGAGCTGGTGGCTTACAGTTTCAGAGGTTCAGTCCATTATGATCATGATGGGGAGCATGGTGGCACTCAGGCAGACGTGGTGCTGACTACATTTTAACCAGAAGGCAGCAGCTAGTCGACTGATGTCACACTGAGTGAAGCTTGAGAAAAGAGATCTCAAAGCCCACGCCCACAGTGACACACGTCTACTCCAACAAAGCCACACCTCCTAATAGTGCCACTCCTTTTGGGGGGGCATTTATTTTCAAACCACAACAGTGGCCCTTTATGATTCATTTGAACAACAATATTTATGACACCCCTTATATTTGCAGTCTAGTGTGACAGCAGAGTCCCTTTTATTTTTGTATTCAGAGAGACTCCTAAAATACATTGAGTCTTCAAGATCTTCTTTTAAATAATCTGTGCAATTGGAAATATATTGCTAGACATAAGAGTTTAATATCTAAATCAAATTCTTGTCCTTTTACTCATATCTCCCTTGTCCTATTCTGGCAGCTTTTGTTTTCTTTTTTATGTATTTTAGTTTTATCCAAGCCTGTCTTTGATATTTGTTTTAAGTTGATTTTGCCGAGAAAAAAATGATGGAAAGAAGAGGTAGAGAGCATTTCCAGTATTATTGCTGCAGGCCTGGCCTGAACTTTATTGATATTTGATATAAAACCTGGCACCAAGAATCCCATATTTTTGCAATTTTAATTTTTGATAACATTTACTTTAGCATTTGTATGTTCTGCTTTAATTCTCCATGGCAATTCTTTCTTTGATGTCTTCTGTAAACGTAGTTTATTTGACAAATGAGTTTTAGTGCTTACCTGGCCTTGATTAGGTTGAGGAAGATTCCTATCAGTATCAAAACCATATGCAGAATTATGGTAAGGTCGAAGTTCTGGCATAGTCCTCTCTTCTCTGGCACATAAAAAATTTTTTTAAATCAGTTATGATAAAGAATTTGCATAACTGATTATACCAATGTCTTAATTTTAAATAGTACACAATGAATGTTTGCATTTTAAGACTGTACTCAAGAAATGGAATTAATAGCAGCTGCAATATACCAAATCTATTTCATGATCAAGATGCTTTACTTCATCTGATTTTATATAACATTGTATTTCAAAAACTTTCAAGCATGTAGTAAACTCAAAAGAAATTTCAGCAAATATTCATATATCTCCCACATTGATTTGGACATTACCATATTATTGCATATATTAACGTATATATTTACATATCCATTTTCCTATCCAACCATTATATATCCATTTTCCTATCCAATGATTAATCTATGTTATTTATTATGCCATTGAAAGTAAATTTTAGAAAGCAGGATATTACACAAAGAATCGTGCTGTCTCATTTGAGTATTATAGAAAGCCTTCTAGTTAGGTGTTTTAAATTTAATTTACAGATAAGAAAATTAAGGCTAAGACAATTTAAGGAAAGGGGAAGTGGTGCAGGGAAGAGGTGTGAATCCTATTTAAGCTCAATAATCTTTACATTCTCCACTAAGCTAAAGAATCTCCAGAGTAGATTCAGAGTCATCTCATCAATTCACAATCCAGATAATTAAAGAGCTATAAAAAGGTACTCAGTAAAAATCACGTTAAGTGAAAGAAAATAGAGTAGCTAAAGTATACAGAAAGCCCAAAAATGAGCTCAAATCCTATGAAGGCTACTACTATCTTGATTTATAATAAGATTTCAGTTTTGTCTATAATTCTCAATACCATTAATTATTTAATTTAAATCTCAGACTAATGAAGAAGTAAGATATGTACTCTGCTTCCTATAAATGAGGAAACTAAACTTTGGCTAACCCAAACTCATAGAGTCAACAGAAGAAAGGGAAATGGAATATATGTTCATTTATTAAGAACTATGGAATAGAGGACTGGAGTTAGTGTTCACTGATTAAAAGTACTTGCTGCTCTTCCAAAGGACCCAAATTGAGTTCCCCTCACCCATGTTCAGCAGCTCACAACTGTCGAAAACTTTAACTCAACGGTATCAGATGCCCTCTTCCAGTGTCTGTGGGCATCCATCCTCAGATTGCATACACAGATACACATGAATATAAATAAAGATGATAGATCTAACAAAGAACTTTGGGATAGGAAAATTACAGAGACTATTTCTAAAATGACCTACATGTTACTTATAATGTTTCTTTAGTGTCTCAGGAGGTTTACATATAATATCAATTGATAATATGATATCTTCATATTAACTTGAATTTACATCATTAATGCTGATTATCATTATGCATATTCATATGTATACATACATGTACATATGAATACACGTACACCACATGGCACAAAGATTGGAAATTTAAAAAGATAAAATGATTGGTGAGTTTAATCTCCCTCTTTCAACAGACAAATACCTATGACAGTTCAAATCGCTGATTTTGTTTCAAAATGAAAGCCAGTTATTATCAATATGAGACAAACAGTACCAGTTAGCTGCCATTTTAAAGTAATATTTCAAAGCATATCTATAATGCTTTGAAGGTAACATTATCTTGTCACAGAGGAATGATGAAGTAGATGATAATTTTAATTGACAGAAAACTGATGAGATTACACATTGGTATTAACCCTCATGTTTCTGAAGTTCAGAAGCATTGAAAACTATAAAAGATAGAGTTTGTTTTATATAAAAAATAAAGGTGATACAGTAAGTCATACCAGCTCTAACACTACGTTAGTTAATCAGGTTCCATTAGCACAGAATGGAGTCTATGCCTAGTAACCATATTTAGCACCAAAACCTTGGCCAAGTTATTTGATCTCTATGCCTCGGTAGTCTCATCAGTATTTTATAGGGTTGTTGAGAGGATTAAATGAATTAATGAATGTGAAACATTTGTAACTCATCCTGCCGTGCATAATAAACAGTCGATACCTGATTGCTGCTTTTAGTATCATCCTCACCATCCCTGAAGTATGTCTGATTATAAACAGCTCTATTTTGTAGATGAGAAAATTAAAGCCCAAAGAAGGGAAATTAGTTAAATAAGGCAGAGTCTCGTCAAAGCCAAGACTATTAGATTGGTGTCTTTGATATTGCTGCTGGTATAAGGAAGTTGGATGGACTAACACAGCAGCATCTGATCCATCTTTCCCACACTACCAGGGCGGAATGTGTGGTGCACACAATACTACCTTAGTGGAAAGAAAACACTGAAATGGGACTTTTTGTCAATTGCATTTGATTTTTATCTGAAGAAGAGCTTTTTAGATTTTTTCCTCTACCAAAATCCTAAACTAGATATGTATACTTTGGCACTGTTAATTTGACTTTCAATTATAATAATGATGAATAGGAAAGAAAACATACACATTACATGCATAATAAATGATACTCATTTTGATTCATTTACTAGCTACATGAGAGACTACTTTTTCTGAAGTGCTTAGAAATCTTTTACCTGTGATGACCTTCATTTTTCTTTGACTTCCCTTTACAGTAGTGGATAATCTGGATTACCACACCAACGATTAGAGCCAGTGCTATTCCAGGCAATGTTGCAACTAAAATCAGGTCCACAGTGTTCCACAGTTGTTCACATTTGTCCCCCATGTACCAGTAGTCTCCCCACTGGCCTCTGAAATTTGGACATCTAGGTAGAGGTAAAATAAATTTCTCATATAATAGAGGAATACAAGTTGTCTCATATGAGTGAATCAAACATTTCATTGTTTCTCGACCCTGAAATTTCTCAAGTCCCTTCTTAAGAGATTTACATCATCCCATTTTTCCATTTGAGCAAGTGCTCTAAACCTACAGGTTTGAACACATTCAGTGATCATACCAAGTCTGTAGGATTTCATTATTTCCTAACCATCAGCTAATGAAAATGCCCCACTTAGCACATAGGTACAGGGAGAGAAGAAAGCTGTCTTAAGAATGCTTTCCAAACTATTCACATTTTGTACATGGCTACTACCTGTACTACTTTAGCTCTCTGGATTCTGTAAAAGAGTTCTACTCAATCTAAGATGCCAATTCTTTAAGGGCAGGCTGTGTTATTCCCTCCCTTACTCACTTCTTAACTACAAGTTAACAGACAGATTCTACCACACCACAAGAAATGCAAGAAGAAACATGAGAGAAGAATAGACTGCCAGGAAAATAAGCCTGCCCCCATCTTTCCCAGGACTCCAGAATTTCTCTTTTTATTTTTTAGAAAGAAGTGACTCATTTATGAACTACATGTGTTTTCATAAGTCTTGGGATGCAGCCAAATAATGTGAATATGGTTCTCTTGTGCATAAAGTAAAAACTGGCATGGCATACACCCACATAGAAATGTCGACAGATTTGTGAAGATAGGAGAATGGGGCTTTTCATGCTTCCCTGGGAGTGACTAAAGGAGGAGTTTACTGAGGTAGTGTCTTTGGATATTTGTTTCACTGACTCCTAAAGGACTGATATGAGATCACCCTGTTGTCCAATAAAGGCAGTTAGTAAGTAAGCTACTTGTGGCCTTTTGTGTTGTTTTAACACATTAAGTATTACTGCACAGTTGACATGAAGGAACTTATTAGATGGTTATTATAATCTTTTATAATCATGATCTATGTATTAATGTTCAAATTAATAATCATCTATTTTTAGGATATGCCTTTTAATATGTAATATACTTTCACCCATTTATGGAAGTCAAAAAAGAGTTTTCATATATCCAGCTGCACACGGTTCTTCCTTAGTGAGAATATATTTCTTCTTTATCCTAGCAATAAATTACAGATGAATTGTTTATTTTATGGTAATATTTCCCTCACTTAGCACATACCGGCTATGTCCTAAACATTATTCCAAATATTTGAGATCTACACTGAATAAAACAAAATGATCAGTCTGCTCAATTAACATATAATATAGCAGAGAGAAGTAGGTAATGTAAGCAAAATTAGTTATTTATCTACCGTGTTTAAACTTGAGAAGTGCTATGGGGTTAAATAAAGTAGGATGGCTTAAGGAGGATTGGCACTATTAATATAGTCCTCAACTAATACTGATATTTCTTTTTTTTTGGTTTTACGAGACAGGGTTTCTCTGTATTGTTTTGGAGGCTGACATTTCTTATACAACTTCTGGTGATTGAGATTACAAATGTGGATTACACAGAGAAGTTGATGGTCAAAATATAGAATTATAATTAAATAAGAAACATTGATCATACAGCATGATGAATGTATTTAATAATCATATACTATCATCCTGAAAACTACTAAGAGAGTGGCTATTATGCTGTCACCAAAAAAGTGAGGACATGTATATAATTAACTAGATTTAACCATAATATAATGGATAAATACTTGAACATACCACATATTATGTGATAAATACAGAGATTCAATTGTCAAATAAATAAATACTTATATAAAGATTTTATTCCATAATGACAATATGAAACAAAAAATTATGTGCTACTCAACACTAATATGAGAATTAAATGCAAAGAAATATTTCAAATATTTTGAATAGTAAATGATTCTGACTCTGTTCTGAAATAACACTTCATTTCTTACCCCTAGCTGCATGGTACTAAAGCCAATTTAAGCCCTCATTTTAATTAACTTATCAGCAACATTTACCATAACTGATCACTCTCTCTTCATTAAATTTTCACTTGACTTCCAGAACATTCTTTTATTTATGTATTTTCTAGCTCATTGTTTATCTCTAAATGCCTTTCTTAGTTTCTTGTCTTCATCCCACCTACTTAAAGTTGGAGTGTTTCATAGATTATCACCAACTATTTTTAGATTTGTATGGCTACCTTGGAGTATTTGTGGAATTTAGGGAACTAGAAAAAGACCATGGTGGCAAAAAAAACTAACTTAAAAGAATGGAATATTAGAATACTAGTTATATGAAGTGGGGAAGAAGGGTAATGGAGGTTTAGGTGGAGAAATGGATGGGAGAGTAGGGCAGAGAAGAGGGTAGGAGATGGGATAACTAACATCAAGAATGTTTAAAGAGGCATCCATGGTGGTACATACTTTTAATTCAGTACTTGAGAGCCAGAGGCAGGCTGCTTTCTGTGAATTTGTGGCCAAATTGGTCTATATAGTGAGTTTGACACCAGTCAGAGCTACATAATGAAACTGTGACTAAAAAAGTAACTTTGAAAAAGCTATATAAAAGCATATATTTACACATGTACAGAGAGAGAGAGTGGAGAGAGAGACAAATAGAGATTTATATAAAAGTTTGATTGTAGTCACCCTATAAAGGGCATTATGTTCTTTCTAAAAGCCAAAGACTGCCAAATTAAAAGCCCAGTGCTAAGTATGGGATACCTCCCCTCAGGTTGTTGGTCAGAGGTGACCAAGAAATCGCCAAAACAATACAGGCTATCAATACTGCACTTTGCTGACAACCAGAACTTGGTGGTAAGACTTTATTATTGAAGAAACCACATACTTTTGTCACAGAACAGACAAATCAAGTTGATGCTGATTGGAATCTTCTTCCTTGCATGGCTAGGTTTCATGGTATCAGAAGGTACTATAAGCTGCTATGGGGGAGGGAGGGAATCATCAACAGTTTTACCTAGTTGTGAACTACAGGTGTGACAAGATATGCTAGTAGGTACAATAGCAGCACAGATGTTATGTAGTTAAAGCACCCTTTGATTGTATTTAAGGCCCATCGGACAGTTGTAGTCATGTGCCTAACACTATAAATCTGGCCAAGAATCCATGGCTGCAGAGCTCACAGGCCCCATGGTGAATCTGCTATTACCATCTTGCTAAACATTATCAAACTGCCCTCTAAATTACTATTTCTCTACCCACAGATTAGTGTACCTCTCATTTACCAATTATACATCTGACAATGAGTTATTAGTTAGAGTACACAAAAAACTAAAATCCAAATAATCAAGAAAACAAATAAATGGGGTGCATAATTTTGCAGAGTTCTCAAAAGATGAAACACAATTGACCCAGAAACACTTGAAGAAAATTCAGCATCCATTGCCATCAAGGAAATGTAAATTAAAGTACTTTGCTATTCTATCTTACCCCAGTCACAATGTCCAAGATCAATAAAACAAATGACATCACATGCTAGTGAGAATGCAAGAAAATGGGAACATTTATTATTTGCTAGAGGGAATGTAAATTTGTGCAGCCATTTTGCAAATCACTGTGGTAGTTCCTCAGGAGTCTGGGAATCAATCTTCCTCAAGATTCACTCATATACATATACTCAAAAGACTCTACAGCCTATTATGATAGAGCTAGAAACAAATCATCCTGGGTGAGGTAACCCAGACCCCCAAAGACAAATATTTTCTTTAAAAATTTCTTAACTATTGGTATTTCATCTGAGAACTCTATTCAGTTCCATAGTGCATAGTCTACTTTTAATTGCGTTGGCTTCTTTTTGGTGTCTAGACTTTTTATTTTCATGTATATTCTAGACAGTAATCTAGTAAATGTATACATGGCAAAGTTTTTTGGTGTTTTGTTTTTCTATTCAGTGGGCTGGCGATGGCCGTTTCTTTGAACAGTTTATTGGTCTGTGACCTGGCTACAAATCAAAGAACAAGAAAATTTAAAAATGAATTGTAATTTGAAGGAGATAGGCAGGGTCCAGGCACTCCCCTAAGAGTCCAGGCTGAGAGAACACCCCTCTTTGTGTTATGGACACACGAAGTCCGTTTGTAAGCCAGGGATAAACACTGATCCACTGCCCAGAGCTCCATAGGTTGCCCAGGCCTCCTCACTGACTCTCACACTCAGGGCGTCTGGATCAGTCCCATGCTGGCCTCCCAGCTGTCGGTCTGGGGTCCAAGAGCTCTCCCCTGTTCAGATCAGCTGTCTCTGCTGGTTTTGCCAGCTCATTCTTTGCCAATTTGCTCATCGCTGCTCTCTCTCTGTGTCACTGGGTTCCATGGGTACAGTTCAGTGTTTAACTGTGGGTGTTTGCCTCTGTTTCCATCAGTCACTGGATGAAGGCTCCAGGATGATTATAGACATCAAGTTCATTATCAGGAATGGTCATTCAATGTGGTCTCTCCACTATTGCTTAGCTTGCCAATTGGTGTCATCCCTTTAGATCACTAGAGGTCACAGTGGTGCCTGATCTGTCTTCTAACCTATGATTCCCTCTTCCCCCTATCCTACCCCCCCCACTCAACCTTCCTGTTCCCCCATGACCTACTCTCTCTTCCTCTTCTCTCCCTCTCTTCTTCCCAGCTCCCACTCCCCCACACCCCTCGCAGTGTTCCCAATCTGTTCAGAAGATCTTGCCTCATTCCTCTTCTCTGGAGTACCATGCATATATGTCTCTTAGATTGTTTCCTATTTCCCAGACTCTCTGTCAGTGGAAGTGCAGACTGGCACTATCCTGATCCATGTCTAAAATCCATGCATGAGTGAGTACATATCATGTTTGTCTTTTTGTGACTGGGTTACCTCACTCAGCATGGTTTCTTCTAGTGCCATCTATTTACCTGCGAATTTCAAGATTCCATTTTTTTTTCTACTGAGTAACATTCCATTGTGAAAATGTACCACATTTTCTTTATCTGCTCTTCGGTTGAGGGGCATCGAGGTTGCTTCCAGATTCTGGCTATTAAAAATAATTCTGCTATGAACATAG